TATATCAAAAATATGCCGAACTTGGTGGCAAAACTGGTAGGAAAATCTCAATCGAAGATTACTTACTGTCTGTAGGTTAATCGAGAAGGTGAAACATTCATTTTACTTGATTTTTTGGGATTTTCTCTCCTCGTTTCTTTGGACGGTTCGGCAACGACTCTGCTCCCGTTCTCAACATGAAAATGCAACTTCCGAAGAAAAATGTTTTGCATTTTTATGTTGGGAACGGGAGCAGATTCTTTCCCGAAACGTCCAGACGAACGAGGAGAGAAAATCTAGAAAAATCAAGTAAAATGAATTTATAGAAGAAATCAGAAAGCACTACGACAAGGAAATAGACATTATCAATGAATCAAAACGTTTTAATGAGTCGTAATATGTGATTCCAAAAGTGACAAAAACTCATCTGATTCATATACATATAAAGAACAAAGTGAAATTACAGAAGATAACTCCCCTGACTTCGTAAATGCATCAGATATGACCCAGATACACAAATCGAAATTTTTTTGAGATATTTATCAAAAGATATGAGAGATATTCCAGATTATGAACAACTCAAAAATATGGATGTCAAGGCTCACAAGGATATGATACCAAAAAAACTTTTTTAAATTAGTTGCCTTATAGGTACACGATAAAGTTGATTCAGAGTTGATTCAAAGGTGTTCAGTATCACAGTATCTGATGTCAAGGTATAATACTCGCTAATTCGAAATTCAAAAAACTCACACCGAAACACGTTGGTTTGGGAATAATGATTCATCAAGAGACATGATGGCAAAAAATTATCGTAGCTTTGTGTTCTTGTGGACACTGTATCGTATATTTACGTGTATTTACAACTTCGCAATTCGATAGGTATCAAATATTGTTTTTTTCAAGTTTCCACATGGATATCTTATTTTTATTTCAATATCATATGCATCATGTTTTGTTTCAATATTTGTCAATTTGTTAATAAATATGGTGGTTGACATTTTACTCTGATGGATAATAAATGTACTTTCGAGATAGAATCATTCATAAAATAAATGGAGGGCACTTCCAATCAAACAGCAAGTTAAAATAAATTTCTATTTACTTGGAAAATAGCGATCAATTCCATTTCACCCGTGAATTCCAAGATCGTACTGTACTGTAACACTCAGTATTTCATATTTACGGTGATCGTACTAGGACGGCTGCGGGCGTTGCGGGGAGAATCGGGGTATGAAAGCGGCGAGTCGCCGTCCTTCGTACTACCTGCATTGGATTATGATTTTCCCAATATCTTCCTTATTTATGCTTTGATTTTCAAAATCAAAGAACCATTCGCATCTTGAAACATAGGCGCATCGACATTATTTCAAGTATTTTTTTGATAAACGTTATAGTTACTGAGATAATGCGAGGTATATGAAAAACAATTTAACGAGAATTTACAAGTTTTGAGTTATGGGCGTTTGAAATATGATTTTCTCATATATCGTAATGTAATTGGTGAATTTCAAAATTTTCTATAATTTGTTCTACTTGTCACACGAAATCAAGATTCGACAGGGTGGAAGTTATGGAACCCATCAATATTTTCCATGAATAAAAAAAAATCCATATTTTTTTATAAATTACCCCCTACCCCCCAAACGCACAGGACGATTTTTCGACGACAAGTGGATCCATGATCTGGAGATGGTAGGGAACAATTCTAGCCATGTCACAGCTTTTTACCTCCGATTTCCCACCAACTTTTGATCTAAGCGACTTACGGTTCGTTTGGCACTCTACTAATATTGCTTCAAAGCAAAACATCTGAAGCATTCACCAATAAAAGATATTCCAGCCTTTTAGGATTTGCAAATGCTTCATTATTGTGCTCTACACACCAAACCAACATCTCATTAGATTTACGTCTCTGAAATTCATTTAGTGTTTTTTGTAATTCAGTTGCCTTTGAAATCGTGTTCCTGAAAAAATATACCATTCCAAGTAATTTTCTCAAAGAATTCAACTCAAAAGGTTAATATAAGGGCATTCTAATGATATAGCTTATATGTTTTTATCAGTAGGGCGAATTATTTCCTTAGAAATTAATAAATAGCTTAAAAATTCCACTAAATCTTTTCCAAATTCGCCTTTTGTCTCAGGATTGATTACAATCCCATTATCTGCTGATAATCTTTTAAATAATTTCCACAAAAAATGATTCAGGAAGAGTACCTTGAAGACCTGCCTTTAATGGTTTTCAGAGTGAGGACACATATCATATCTTGAAACATCTGAAGAAATATCATGACTCCAGTCCTTTTTCATAAGAGATGGAATGAGTTTTTCCGTACCGCTTGATTCATCGAGTGCAGACATATTTTTCCTACCTTCTTTCTCTATTCGTTAAGAGCTAATATATTTAGGAAGTTAATATTAAATAGGAAAAAGCCGCGAATACGCAAAGTGGAATGCAATAAAATGGTCTCAAAGAGAGAGGAACTCAAAGTCATTACAACAATAGTTCATAAAATGAACAAAAATTGTAGACAACGAGAGAAAAACAACTACCTACCTAATTATATAGCCAGGAAAAGTAGTTGTTTTTCTCTTTATCTACCATTTTTGTTAATGACTTTGAGTTTCTCTCTCATGTGAAGTTATATATATTATTATTTTTTCTGAGAGCCCCAACGATCGAATTCCTTAATGCTTTGATTTGAGTTGGGGATAATTTCCCCTTATTTAATTTGCACCTGATACCCTTCGTTGACATCAGTAGCGCCGCTGGCATGGGTACCTTGCTTTGTGTGAAGCAGTCTATAAGTGAGTACGAGCTGTATTTTGAATTACCAATGAACTAAATAAATTCAAAACCGAGGTTCAAGATTGCTGGGGTCACCTCCAGATCAGGACTAAGGAAGCGAAGAACGTCGGTGCCAAATGTCTATGTTTTACATTCTGGTGTTTTATTAAATCGGCCTAGAATTTTCAGGTTAGACACCTATGTAGTTAGAGGATCCGAAGTAAGGTCGATCTTCTCCCATCTGTTTAATGGATTAAAATTATTTTATTAGTTATTTAGCATGTTGGAAACTTTTAAAAAAATGGGTTGCCTGAAGAAATATATCCTGGGCTAAAATTAATTAAAAATTCAAAGATCACCTTTTTTTCAATTTCTACCGATGAGTACGCAATACTTTTTTTGAATCTTTTGAAGTACAGGAAACGAAATACCTATATTATGTTCGATAGGGATAGAACGTATAGGTAAGTATTGGATTTTTTTGGGAATAGATTCATTACAACCAATTACAAAGCGTTGCTGTTCTATAGATGAACAAATTTTAATGAAGAGTGTTCGACATACCTCGATAAGTTAACGACAGAAGAATATGTTCTTACTGGAAGTATATCTATATAATATATACCGGGTGTCTCAGTTTCAATATCTCAGTTATGATGCTTGGAAGAAAATAAAGAATTACACATTTGTCAAACCCATATGACTTTATAGCCATTGTGTCAAAGACAACCTCTGTCACACAAGCCCTGAAAAGCTACTCCCAACTTCACGTATTCAGGTTACACCCTATAAATTTTTTTGTTAATTTGTGAAGTGCAATCAATTATTCTAACTTCAACGATGTATATCACACATGCTATTTTGACAAACGTGATATACCTACTTTCAAAATCACAAAATACAAAGGAAACAGTATCAGGTTTGGAACATTTTTTTGTTGTGATTTTTTTGACCGTTATTTGCGTTATTTACTTACTTCGAATTATAGTATTCTTTCAATTGGACATCAGTCAAATTATCAAGTGTGATACATCGTTGAAGTCAGAATTGATTCCACTTCACAAATCAAAATCAACAAAAAAATTGTAGGGTGTAACTTGAATAATTGAAGTGGGTGGTGGCTTTTCAGTGGTAGTTCGACAGAAGTTGACCTTGACCCATCAATGGCCTTGAGTTTGACAAAAGGGTGATTTTTTAAAGTTTTTTCCAAACAGCATAACTGAGATATATTGTTTGTATGAAAAGATCTGGGACCACTGGGACCAGTGGCGGTTTTATATACTTCAAAATGTTCAATTTGAATCAATTGATTTTTGTTTTTTTTTATTTCAATGATCATTACTTTGGAGAACATGTTCTATTCAAACTTAGATATAGCACTTCCCATGGTGAAAGAAAATTTTCTTGCTAAACGCGAGTGAAAAAACCTTAAAGATTTCATACGACGATATAATTGATGATTCTGCGTATTGCAAATCTCGCAAAAATGTAAACTGTGAAATTTGTATAACTTGATTAATTTTTTCGTCATCATTAACAGGATTCGATAGAGATACTGTTATAGTATTATTTTTAAACTGTAGATGCATGTAACATGTAACAACGTTAATTATTTTGTATTAGTGTTAACAGTGTTCATATTGGTATATGTATTTTCAAGGCATATACCTCACTTCGCCTTATAATTAAAACATGATTGAAATATGCCCAAAAATTATTTCTCGTACAATCTTCATCAAATTTTGGGTTGTAAAAATGATTTAGAAACTGACACGTCGAAACCCTAGTCCAAAATCATGCTAGGTGATAACGAGAAAAAAATGATGTAATGAAGATGCTAGAGCACAAATCATGAATTTATAATGTTATTGACAGAATAAATGTATTTAATATAGTTGCGACCTAGGGTACCTATCCAATTTCAGAGGTCAGAGGGGCGGCAAAAATTGAACAGCCTACTGGCGCCAAATTTATAAATCCGCCACTGTCTGGGACACCCGGTATATAAAACAATGAAAAGTCACCTACCTACTTGTCTATATGGAGTCCCAATTATCTAAGAACATAAGCATATGTTTACGTACTAATTGCCATATGTGTGGGGGTATCCTAATTTATTACGGTCAGGATCTGTGCTTTATTGTAGAACATATAAAGTTGTTGAGAATTGAGATATGTGAAGTAGCTTTTTGCTGGGAATAAATACGACTCTGAGCTGTGTTTCTGAAAGCAGCAACTTTCGCGATGAATCTGACATGATTTTTTCATGAAAGAGTATTACTGTTGGAAATGCCGAACATAAATATATGGTGTCTACTATGTCGAAATGATGAGTTCGGTTTGATATGGTATGAGATGTTATATGGTAAGTGGAAGGGTTAATTGTTTGAGCATTTTTGAGCGGTTCATGGAAAAATGTTTGTGATTTATTAATATAATGTATCATATACAACGATACCCGATATTATTTATAGTTCCTAATTCCGGAGAACCCTGTATAATGTTGATCATTCATACTCACTAGAATTTATTTCTTTTCATATTCGAAAACTACAACGAGCTGAAAAGTCTACGTCTATCAATATATGTGTAAAGACCATATAGAGGTCATATAGTCATGAGTCCATTGTTTTGGCAGTGGTCTAGGAACCATTTCATCTCAGTCCGACTCTGGTCAGTATATTATCTCTGATATGATCGAGTTTTGTTTATAATTTTTCGATGTCACAATATTCAGTTATGATAAGGGGGATTTAGTCTTACTCCATAGGACTCAGTTGTACGTATGGTGTAAAATAATGAAATGAAATTGTTAATATATTCTTTTAAATGATATTTCAAATTGAAGTACTTAATAGTAGTAGGTAGTAAATCACGAATTGTTTCACCATGATTTCGTTTGTTAAAATGTATGGTAGAATATCGCAGGTATTACGAAAGTAAGTCTCATCTTTTTATTAGGTATAGTAAAATATTGAATATGTATAGGTATTTTTTTATTCATCACCAGGAAAATCATTTATTATTATCAAATTGTTATTCTCTAGAAATCGGTAGTCAACGATTTTACTTTGATTTTACACACTTTTCCGGAAATTGTTCGGTTGAGAGGACTGGTGAACAGAGTGGTGAAAAAAGATATTCCGAATAAATACATATCTGGTTTCTGGAGGTAATAATATTTTCATTTACATGCGAAATTTTTTGATGTTTCGAAATGAAATTTCACTGTTGAAAGTGTAAAATTCTTAGTGCGAGTTTGAGAGTTACTGAAAAAATAAGTTCTCATGATTCAAAGTGTGAGATTTAAAAAATCGAGTTTTCTACAAATATGGACCTGAAATATTGATATTTTCAAGGCCTATACCTCCTATTCATTTTTTTGGGAAACAATTTGACTATGAGTTTTGAAAGAGTGACTATATATAGCCTATTTGATGAAGGAATAGCTATAAAAACACCCCAAGTGAAAATTTGAATCCAGTATAAAAATCTACTGCAGAGTTGATATATATAACTACTGTGATTTAAATTCAAAGTTTCCTCATACGTTATCTTCAAACTAATAATCATTTTTAGATTATTTATCAATCTCATTCGTAGACAATTTCAGCATTCTTACTGTGTGGAAACCAATGATTAAATAAAATTGTTAACTCCATAACAAAATTTTAGTTTCTGAAAATCGATTTTTTTTACATAAGAATTTCCAACCACCTGTTAACCTCAAAGTTTTTGAATTGTACAAGGTGTCAAGTTTCATCTTGCTGAAAATGTGTTTCAAATCTCTATACAACGGTCAGAATTTCGTCTAAATTTTTGGTAACGGTAGGTACTGTAAAAGTGAAACAATGAGACAGTACATAGAAGCGGCAACATACGACTGCATTTCTGGAAATATTTTAATTGAAGAGAGCGCCGTATTCTAAAATATGAGCATGCACATTTTCATGTATTTCTGCCGAGTGATTCTCGACATAGTGTAAGCTCGTCGTAACACCCTATACATACAGTCATTCCCAAAAAAAAACTATTTTCCAACATCAACAACCTGTATCTATAAAATTACCCACGACCTCATGTTATTAATTATTTCTTATTGTTTGCGAAGCCCAACGCAGCCTCTTCTGTATCACAACTTACCAAGATGGAAGAGTACACTGAGAAAAATAGATAAACTTCTCATAGCTAATAGGGGAGAAATAGCTTGTAGAGTTATGAGAAGTGCTCGGAAATTGGGAGTTCGAACCGTTGCTGTTTACAGTGATGCTGATGAAAATTCATTACACGTTGCCATGGTGAGTGATACAAAATGAAAAGTAGCAGATAATTCGCCAGATTTTCAAGGGTGGGGAATTTTTTATTTGAGCATATTTAAAAATTCTTTTATACACTAGCGGGCCGTAAAGTGCACTATACCGTTCGTTTTTGCGGGCGTTAAGTTCCACTTTACCGCCCGCGCGGGCTCATTATGGCCCACGGGCGTAAAGTGCACTTTACCGCCCGCTGTTCTCAGTTCACTTATAAACATATATCAATTAATGAAAAATCTATGACAATTCAGCTTGTTTATCGGATGTATTGCTGTAGACAACAGCCATCAGCTTGCTTGACAATATATACTAGGTATGCATATTGTGATGACTAGCGCCATCGGGACATTATTCACGCTACAGGCCATAAACGCCTACTTTTGGCCCTTGATACATAAATAACTATTATATAAGTTCAGTGTGGCTGGAATTGGAGACTCATCAATAAATAAATAAATAAATTCACATTGTATATCTCTACAAGAGTCATATATTCGATTACAAGAATAATAGTAGGTTCTGGTAAACTGTGAGATATACAGGGTCGGTTAATTATGGCAAAGTTGCGCAGTTCCATGCCTAACACAATTGAATTCTGAAACTTCGAGAATTCTGAATATTTTCGGAGATATACGAAAATACCCGCCTAACATTTTTGAATTTTTTTTAAAGTTAATTGAAGAAAATGATCGAAATGAATGACACTTTATCGTGGCCACTTTTCCTTCCTACAAGTTGGCGTTCTCAAATTTGAAATCTGACGTTTCGTCTTCCAGAAACCATCATCAACTATTTCTTTGAAATACGGACCTGGAGTTTTTATTTCATGTTCTCACACCTTCGGATATTCCAAAAGCTATGAGCTCTCACAGAGCTTGATTTTCGAATGTTTCGTTTACAAAAATTGACAGTTCGGTATTGAATATTGAAAAAAATACAGAAAATGTTGATTTTTGTGAACGAAACATTCGAAAATTATAGTTTGTGATTGCTCATAGCTTTTGCGATATTCAAATGTGTGAAAAAATGGAATACAAAATCCAGGTCCATATTTAAAAGAAGATAAATTGATGATGGTCTCTGGAAGACGAACCATCGAATTTCAAATTTGAAAACGCCAACTTATTGTAGAAAAGAAAAAGTGCTCATGATAAAGTGTCATTTATTTCGATTAATTACTTCAAAAATCTTGAAAAAGAAATAGAGAAAGTTTTAGGAAACTTCGGTTTTTTTCGTATCTCTCCGAAAGTATTAGGAATTTCTTCGAGAATTCCTTTATTCGTGAAATATTCCAATGAATTACATTCGTGTATAAAATTGACCAGATAATTTTGCATTCAACCTTTTGTAAAAGTGTCTTCCTTCAGACTCTGGCTCTTTCGCCAAAATATGAAAATAAATTTGCAATTGTTAGATAACAAGCTTTCTTGCAAAATTATCGGTGATTTTTATGCATTTGTGTAATTATAACCGATAAATATAATGAAAGAAAAAGTGGCCATGATAAAGTCTCATTCTATTCGATTAATTACTTCAAAAACCTTGAAAAAAACAGAGGAGTTCTAGGAAACTTCGGTTTTTTTCGTATATCCCCGATATTATCAGGAATTTTCGAAGTTCAAAACAGGATTTTGTTAGGCATAAAATTGCGCGACTTTGCCATGATGTAACCGACTCTGTATCTCTTGCGGTTTACGAGATCGAGGATCGAATTCCATCATCAGCCACGTACCCTACATAGTGATTATGTCATAAACTACCGAAACTGATTGATCGTTGATTATTGAGAGTGACAATAATCCAACATCTCGGGCCCTCCGTTTTTCAGAAAAAATAAATCTCCAATAATAGGTATACTTTTTAGGGTACGGAACCAAGTTCCTATAAAATGTTTCCAATCTATATACTTCTCTTTGATCTATTCTGAACATGAATATTTGATTTCTGTTTGGTGATCAATAAAACTCTCAATTATGAAGCCTCTCAAAACTCTTCAAAATAAAATTGTCAAATGTATATACAGACTAAATTATTTGGAACCTACTATAAACCTTTACAGAAGAAGAGAGGTATTAGATATATATATTCACTACATAGAAATTCAAATTGATATCAACATTGTCAAAAGCATTCAAAGTTGGTTTTCCAAATTAATACTAGTCACCACAACCATACAACTAGACAAGCAGATCATTTTTTTGTTAAGAAAATCAAATCAGATATTGGTAAAAAAATCCATCTATCACAATGGAATGATACAATACAATTGACTACCAAATAACTTGAAGCTGATCAATAGGACTGACAAATTTAAAAAGGAATTCAAGAAAAATGTTGCTTCTTGGGAATAATAAGTTGATTAATTGATTGATTGATTGAAACTATGATTGACAAAAAGTGAGAAAAAAGTCGTATTTTGGTGAGTGCTCCATTCAATCTTTATGTCTCATAGCGCATTTTATCTATATAGTGTTTGTCAGTATTATATTTCTCAAAAAAAAAAAAGAAATTTCTTCGAGAATTTCTTTATTCGTGAAATATTCCAATGAATCACATTCGTGTATAAAAATGATCAGATTATTTTGCATTCAACCATATTTTTATACAAATTGCATTCGCTTATTTTCATATTTTGTATAAATGTCTTCCTTCGGACTCGGGCTCTTTCGCCAAAATATGAAAATTTTAGATAACTCGCTGTCTTGCAAAATTATCGGTGATTTTTATGCATTTGTGCAATTATAACCGATAAGTATAATCCAGTTGAACCGTAACACAGAGAGCATAGATACGCATAGATGCAAAAGATCGGATTGTTCTGATTTTTTGGTATGTTGTGTCTATACAGGGTGTCTCAGGTTTAACTCGTCTAACTTTGACAATCGATAGCAAATGTTAAGATATTAGATACGTATTATTTGGTTTCGTCGTGGAGAAACTTGTTTTCATTATACGGGATGTGTCAAAGTTGCATACATTTTTTGTTTTTATTTTTATCTACTACTGAAAGTATCAGCACCCGGCAATAGAATTGTAGGTTTTCTATCGCGTAATAGAAAACATTTTTTATGCAACACATCGTATATTTTGTACTGCTTCCTTGTACGTTCCTTATTGGACTATGGCTGTATGATTTGGTCACCATACTATGCATGTGATATCACACTAATCGAACAAGCCCAAGTTAGATTCGCCAAGCACATATCCTACAAAATGGGAACTTACCATCATTTCAACAATTCGGATACTCTTAATTATATTGATACCCTCAACTATAACTAATTTGTCTGTCCGTCGATTCAGGCTAGGTAGTTATACTATGCTTAAGATTATCTCAGGTGATATTGATTGTTATGAACTTCTCAATAGGATTAACTTCAATGTTCCCTCATATTTTACTAGAAACACAGAATTATTTTTTATGAATAATCATAGAACCAACTATGGGTTCTTCAGCCCCTTTTCCTGCATCTTGCGTAATTTCAATGCATTTCTAACATTGACCCGTTCGTTCAGTCTTCAGCGATATTTGAAAATAGAATTTGAAAAATTGATCCTATAGGTTAATCAGTCACCATTAATTTAGTTGATACTTTTTTTTCTTTTTTTTTCTTTCCTTTGGGCATAACGGCATAATGTAATTTTTCAACTTATAATGGCTATAAATAGAAAATAGTTTCAACAACGAGTTGTAATGTTTACAAAAAGTTATTTTATTGTTGAATTTCATTTGTCGATGCTGTGATGTTATTGTCCTCATGCCATCTTGATTATATATAATTAATTTCTATTGTCAAGGCGAATCCGTTTATTGAATAAATAAATAAATCTCAGTTGGAACAAAACCTATCGATTTTAAATTATGTGATCACTTTTTTATCGGCTATATGAACACACTGAAGAAAAAAATGAGTTAAATTTCACTCAAGGTCCACGCAATAATGTATCAATTTCGGTCCACGCCCGATTGAATTGAAATTCCACCCTACTTGACTGTGTAAAATGGTTATTCATGAGCCGATTCATTCAAATTTGTCATCAACATTTTCATTGATAGGAAAACTTGATGACATATCCAGTTTGAGTTGAAAATTCACTCACAACCACATATGCATTCACTCAAAGGAATTTTCTACAGTGCAGTCCTTATCAATAAAGGGGAGTCGAGAAAACTCGAATAAAGATGAACTTTTTTATCAAACTCATTTTGGTTTTAAACTTCAAACTCCGATGCCCTGTATATCATATAGGTACATCTCATAAGAACTGATTGACTTCCCTCTCACGGACACCTCTAGTTAATGTCTAAAGTGCTTTACCTATTGTTGAATTTTAGGCAGACGAAGCATATCGAATTGGTCCAGCAGCTGCCTCACAAAGTTATCTGAGGGGTGAAAAATTGTTAGAAGTTGCAGAAAGAGCCAATTGTCAAGCTATCCATCCAGGATACGGATTCCTATCTGAAAATGTCGAATTCGCAGAATCCTGCCATAAAAGTAACATCGTTTTCATTGGCCCTCCTGCCACTGCCATCAGAGACATGGGGATAAAAAGGTAACAGCCAACTAGATGTATTATTCTATAAAATATTTCAAAGCACATAATAGCTAATATCATATGAGTAGGTTTGCTCGTTTTTGGACATCTTTATAAAAATGTCGCCATATCAAACCTGAATCCGTTTCGAAACAGCTTCTATTTATTATTCGCAGCCTTAATTATTTCGACATTAATATGACCATAGATCTAATTAGATCTCTATGATATGACTAAATGGGGTGCGAATCATTTCAGCCACATTTCTTCTTAGCCACATATCGTGTTAGCCACATTTCGTCTCAGCCACATCTCGTTTCAGCCACTTGTCGTCTCAGCCACAGTGTCCGAATCACAGTATATTATCCTTTCGAAAGGGTAATATACTGTGGTCCGAATATATCCGAACCATAGTTTGGCCTTCTTAATCTATGCCCGAACGATGCGCTATTGACAGATACAAACCGACTCTCCCAATTTAGCAGAAATACACAATGCAGCTTCATTTCGTTCCAGCCACATTTCGTTTTAGCCACATCTCATCTCGGCCACATTTCGTTTCAGTCACATTTCGTGTCCATTTCGTCTTAGCTACATTTTCTTTCGATTTATCCATAATTAGTTAAAAGAAGGGAGAATATCATTTAAAATAATGGCGTGTGTCGTCGTCATTCAAAAGCAATCTGTTGACATTTTACTCCTTGTATTTGCATTGATTATTGATCAAATGGCGGTCATCTGGTATGATTGTTCACTAAATATAAAGAAACTCGCAATGAAGATCATATTCCGTGTTGAATTTTCCATATGAAAATGTGTCATTGAAGTACATTATGAGTATATAAAGTTTCCAATGACAAAATAAGAAGAGCAAGTAGCTGCAAATGCATTCAAGACAGGAGGAAAAATATGGCGAAATTTTGAACTATTTCTTGAAATATCTCGATAATTAGTGGTTTCTCCACATTTTCATTATCGAATTCGTGTTTTTCAGACGAAAATACGTAAGTACCTACCAAAAAAAATTTTCAAAAAAAAATACATCGCATGATAAGTGCAATTTTACCATTATGTGGCTGAGACGAAATGTGGCCGGGCGAAATGTGGCTGAGACGAAATGAGGCTGAGACGAAATGAGGCTGAAACGAGATGTGGCTGAGACGTAATATGAGGCTGACACAAGATGTGGCTGAGAGTCGATTCTGTTATATTGGAAATTGGGATAGTATGTGGCAACAGCACATCATTCGAGTATGTTCGGATTCTGTGGGCCAGACGAAATGTGGCTGAAACGAGATGTGGCTAAGACGAAATGTGGCCGGAACGGGTTGTGGCTGAGAAGAGATGCTTCCACTAAAATGTCAAGCAAATGTTTGGTCTTCATGTTTTGCTATCAAACATATTTTCCGTTTCGACTTATTTTTGATTATTATTCTTCACCGAATGTATGGATTATGGAATAAATCACTACCTGTCTGGCCCGGCTTCGCCTATTTCAAAGATAAGACATTTGATGCAGTCGTTCTGAGCTATGCGCGTATCTAAAGTACACATTTTTTTGTTATTTTTTCAATCTTCTTGTGCTTACCTGAGCTACTTATATACTTACACCTATTCTCATTCTCTCAGTATCTATTGTATTTTTCTTGTTGTTGTACGTATATCAAATGAAACTTTAACCCAATCGTTTAAGCCGTTTAGTACTTGACGTACCGAGCAGCATCACCTACCGCGTCCAGTTGTATTTTGAAACATCCAGAAAACTATCGAAATACCCAACCGGCTCAGCCGTTTAGAAGTTATATTATGAAATTGATAGGTACAGAAGGATAATTCTTACTACCCGTTGTCCTATTACCCGTTTTTCCGTAGAAATTAAGCTTTTCCCCGTGGTAAAAAGTACACTAATGTTCATCAAGAATAATGTCGCCATCTGATGGTAGTTTTTTTTCAAATCGGTCCTCTAGTTTTGGAGCCTATTCAGCACAAACATATGAACAATCAGATCTTTCCTCTTTATAATATTAGTATATATATATTGTGATTCACGCAACTTTCACCTGGAGAGGCTACTTTGTTACCATGTCGTGTTATTATTGGAATTTTGTGAAGTTTTTACATTTAATAATATCTATGATAATAGAATGATTGAGATTTCTATATGACACGACATGGTAACGAAGTAGCCTCTCCAGGTGAAATACTATGGTATAATAAACGGTTTCGCTACAAGTCGTGTTATTAAAAATGTTGTGGAAATCTTATCGTTTGGGAAGTTTCATCATTTACTTATGACTTTCCAACAAGTAACGGCCGAGTCAATTCAAAATATTCTATTAGTGTAACTACCCTATAGAAATGGAAACCACGATATCGAATGTCTGTCTCTATATTATTTAACAATGGGTAATAATTGAATTCATTTCTCTCAATGCTTTCGTTACGTGCCAAAGAAGTAATTTCTTGATCTTAAACAGTTATTTTTAGCACATCTAAGAAGATCATGGACAAAGCGGGTGTTCCTATCATCAGTGGATATCATGGTGAAGATCAAACTAATGAAAGACTCAGGAGTGAAGCCAAACGAATTGGGTTTCCAGTTATGATCAAAGCAGTCCGTGGAGGAGGAGGCAAAGGTAAAATAACAGAACGACATATAATTGAGTTGGTTATAGCCATATTATTTATTAACGTTACCGATATGTATCAATAGGATGAGGTTGAATATTATTGTAATCCGAGGCGCAGTCGAGTATTATAACAACTGATTCGTAATTTGCGTTTCGGCCGTGTGTCGTTCAAGTCTTTTCGTAATCTCACTGAAAGTTCACATTTTGATTTGGAGTAAAGAAAAAACCACGTACATACCTCGTAATACTGCAGAAAAATTCCCAATTCGTGGTGTCATGGAACAGTTAACGGCCGCCGGCCGTTATAAAATCTTGACGAACGGATGCTGTTAACATTAACTTTTCAATTGTCACAGTGTGGGATTACGAACAAAAACTAGTGAGAGCAGTCAATATTCATTATATGATGATGGAATCTCGTTTTTGTTAAATTATTAAAATAGGATATAGCTGCACCTTTGCTGATGGAAATCATATACAGTATGATGCAAATGTATGGAATAAATTCATTATTTCAGAAATGGGCGACATTTGAAAAAATTCCAAAATCACGTGAGTTTTAATTTCTGAAGCCTCATCTCATATGAGAGATGTTACGTCACCGGTGTTGGAGTAAAGACGTAATGGACGATTTTTTCAGATACAAATAGGGGTCATGTGACACCTTGATTGAAAGGTCTACCGATCGTCTATTCAACAGTCAAAATGTTGCATAAGAAGATTGAAATTAAAATGGATTATCATGTGATTAATTGAATCTTGCAGAGGTCTGCTACTGAGAATTGAACATCGAAGGGTCGTCTGGTTAAAAAAATACGTCGGAAAAAAAGTTCTAAACTCTAGTTTTTAATTTTTTTCGAAAGTCGTCTTGTTTTGAAATGAATTTATTTACATTTGCATCATACTGTATATCAAACGAGAAAATATTTATTTAACCAACTAGTGTATTATTGAGGGCGATTGATGATTGAGATATCATACTAGTAGGTTATAAAATGTTTCCGTCGACTATTTTCCTCCTGCAATGAAAAAAAAATAGTTCGCGAAATCATTCATCCAAACTTACAATAACTAGTGACAATGGCATTTGTCAACATCAACAACATGGGAAATGAATTCCTTTTACGGTAGAAAACAGGGATCAAAATCGGTTAACAAACGTGAAGAAGCTAACCCAATAACGTAAATTCTCCGATGAAATCCATATTTTCGCTTTAAATGCAGATTCCGTAAGTCATAGTCCCCACAGGGAAAAAAGAGAACTATTGTACGCAGAAATCTATCTGTGTTCACAATTTGTACTCGAAAATGAGAAATTGAATGCACATATAAAAATTGGGGTGATTTTTTCCTTCACCACCCCCCGATTCAGCCGCCACAGAATCACTTCATGAAATAATTTTTATATCATCTCAATGAGCGTTAAATAGTTAGTAATCTGTGGAAAATTTTGACTCGTATTTTCAATACCCTATATCTCGAAAACGACGAGTTTAAAAGTTTAGGTTCACATGAACTCTTTTCATTATTTCAACGAGTACAACACACTGTTGAATTTTTTGTATGACAAAGGCAAATTGATCGATTGGGGTAATTAACAATAATTAACTTCTAGCTGCCGATTCATCATTATTGTATTTTTATTTTCAGGAATGAGGATTGCCCATACAGAAGAAGAATTCGATGGTGCTCTAGAATCTGCGAGGACTGAATCTCTAAAAGCATTCTCTGACTCTGTGGTTTTATTGGAAAAGTTTGTGGGCGAACCCAGACATGTGGAAGTACAAGTATTCGCTGATACTCACGGAAATGCAGTGCATTTGTATGAAAGAGATTGCTCAGTCCAAAGAAGGCATCAGAAAATTATTGAAGAAGCACCAGCGGTAAGAATATTGAGTACCTTACACTGAGTAAAATTGTGCTATTTGAGTTTTTGCTGAGATATTTCTTGCTATACCATTACAAGATATCATTTTACCGTTATACATTTTCGAATAGAAGCAGTACCTTGAAATCCTATGATAGCAATAACGACTTTGTTGAAAGTGAATTTTCTGCCACAGAAAGATATAATGCTATCGCTATCAGGCAGCCATTCTGGGATAGCATGATTTTTTTTTATAATTGTCTAGCTGAACTACTACTAGTGGCTGCGAGTTTCGTTGCATAGACTACCAATAATACAACTGTCAGTCTGTCACGAAATGAATAATTGACGAAACTACTTGCGGTTATTTAGCGCCTACTTATCGTTATTCGATATTTTACTGATTTGTCCCCCTCTATATAAGCATTTGTCAGACATCTTGCTTGATCAATCATTAACAGTTGATGGACTCTTGATGCAAACCCATGTACAGGACGACAATCTCGGCGACACGACAGTTATGAATACTTGCCCTCTCTGATTCAATTCATTATTTTAAATCTGAATCTGGATTCAAATATAAAATGGAAACATTTTTATACAAATAAAATAATCTTCTGTGCCCCTTTCACTGCTTTCGTAGATCTGAGTGCTTCAGTTATTACCAGGATTGATGGAATGATAAAGGATGAGTTTTTTCTAGGTATTCCGACTGAAATTCAAATATTTTACATTCAACATTTCCTCCTTTTTGGTAACATGAAACTTTAAAATTGTCAAACATGTTCCAAAGATTCTCTATTGAATGTGGTCTGAAAAATTATTGTGAGCAAAAATGACAAGTTGTCAAAATTATTTGAATGATTTTACTGGTAACATTTTGTTTTCCTGTACGCATCTGTAATAACTTGCCGAGTTCTCGGAATACAATGGTTTCAGAAAGTTTCAGAAAAATTCTTTTCTTCATCAATTACTCAAAAACCTTTTCCCGAGGGTGCATGAATCAATTGATCTATTGAATTTCAACGATCATTGGTCTGAAATTTTCCTTAGGAATCAATAAATTGCTATTCATATCATACATCAGGGTGAAAATTATGGGAAGTGAAATTGGATATCAGTCAAAATTTCACCTTTATTGATGATAACAATCCTGGAAAATAACTGGATATCTATAGTAAGAAGGTCATGCAACTATCTATATGATCACCCATCAAGAGTAGCAAAGTTCCCTACCTACAATTATAACATTGCCCTACTCCCATTATTAGATGCACTCACTAGCGGTAGCAAAGTCATATACCTACTACAGAAACATCGTCTAATAGCAATATACAGATACACTCGCTAGTGGCAGCAAGGTTCTATATCTTATAATCGCAGGTGTGTTATAATCAGCAAAGTCGACTTTATAATCACAGGTGATAACTCACTTGTCCCTTATGGTAGAGTTTCTTGCTGGAGTAATTCGATTTCTGACTATGGTTAATAGGAATTTTCCTCAGTGTAAAGATTAGATTAGATTGAGATTTCAACGTCTCAAAATATCCATGATATATAGGATTTTCGATCAACGACACCAAGTTAGTCGGAAGAATATAGGTTTTTGAGATTTAACAAAAACTGCTCATACTAAACACACCGGCAGAAAAAAACCGGCCAGCGAAAAATTCAGTCGTATTGATCACCCTGTAACTTTTTTAATTCATGCCCGATTCTGGTGAAATTCTGGCCGAATCGTAGATTATTGTTTCGGAGTGTTAGCCTGAATTCTAATTTTCAAAAAAGCTGGTGGCTCGACTATTATACATGGTGAAAGAAAAGTTACTCATTCACCCTTCACTTCTCAACGCTCTGTGGCAGAGGTTAGTATTCAAACTCATCTTCATTATGTTTCGGATTGAAGTGTGATCCCTTCTTAATACAATGGTTTCTGATTCACGTTGAAATCTTCTTTTCAAGAGAAGATACAGCTGTTTTAAGAAAGTATGAAAATTTTTAATTCATATCAACAATAATTCAGAACCTATTGAGTATTTTTGGGACGACCTCCAGAGGCTGAATCGCCTTCGTCCGGCCTTGTCAGATACTTTTCAAGATCTACGATTTGCCCTGAAATATTATATTCAACATTTTTATTGATTGACCAACAACAGTTATCAGCTTATAAACTATGGAAATCATGAGATTAGACAAATTTTCGGAAAAGTTTTCATGTCGTAACTTTTTTAGCCAGGTTTATCGACAGAACTGAGGCAAGAGCTAGGAGCAGCTGCAGTTAGAGCTGCGAAAGCTGTCGGATATGTTGGAGCCGGTACTGTAGAGTTCATTTTGGATAAAAATACTCACAGCTTTCATTTTATGGAGATGAATACGAGGCTGCAGGTTGAACACCCAATTACAGAAATGATTACAGGTAAATTTTCGAAAGGTTTTGAAATCTCCGCAGATAGTCGTTCATTTAACTGATTATTCGGAAAGTATCACAAAAAGGAGTATCTATTATTAAGTATACGGCTCAAATATTTGATCCATTAGGATTGTTATCACCTACAACAATAGAAGCGATAATAATGATACAAAATTATGGTGCTTCATGAGATGTATTCTGTACCATTGAATATCCGTCGTTTATGGTTTTAATTCAGGTTTGATTCAGGAAGCTTCAATAACTTACAATTACCTAGGCAGAAAATGTTCTAGGATTCTGAAGTGATAGAGCTTCATGGGTTTTCTAATGCTTTGCAAAAAGCGTATGGAGCCTGGTTTCATATAATGCAAGATTTATCGAACCTATCCAATTGGAGCTATGTTGGCACACACGACAATCCAGCAGACCTTCTCTTCAGGGTACAGTTGTATGTATCCTCGTGAATTCAGAAATTTGGCGGTCAGGTTCTGATAGGCTTTCGCACACACGTGACCATTGGCCAGATTCTTCCAATTTTGCAATCCCAGAGTCCGAACTTCCAGAAGTTCGCGTCAATACATTATTATCAGTTAGACATTATATAATTGATACATCAAAATTCAACAAATTTCTAGGACAATGTACATTTTGTATGCTGAACAAATCAAAACACGTAGGTATACGCATTACTTACTTAGATTTATTCGGAATATAAAAACCAAGAATTTTAGAATTACAGGACCTTTGTCCCCAGAGGAGTTGAATGACTCATTATATAATTCACCCTATTGAAATAGGAAATAGAACAGTTAAAATCAACTGGACATGTAAAGAACAGGAGCACTAGCAAATAACGTATGAGGTTGAATATTGTAATCCAAGGCGCAGCTACACCGAATCCGTTATTTGCATATCGGCCGTGTGTGTCGCCTTTAAACAATCTTAAGGGAAAGAGGCTGTTAACATCAACTTTTCAATTGTCATCTTAATACCGTTAAATCAAAATAGCAGTATATGGGTTCACGAAAAAAATAAAATGTTTGCATAACCATCTACCAAGGTCCTTCAGTCATGATTTTGTTATTTGTTCCAGGAACCGATTTGGTAGAATGGCAAATCAAAATAGCTTCAGGTGAGAAGCTGCCATTAACCCAAGAACAAATACAATCACGGGGTCATGCTTTCGAGGCAAGAATTTACGCTGAGGATCCACGGGGTGGTTTTCTTCCTGGTGCTGGACCCTTGTTGCATCTCGTAACTCCCGATGTTTCCGAAGATACACGTATCGAAACAGGTTGGGAGAACAGTAATAAGATAATTTGAATGATTTTTTATAATCTTTTTCATAGTCTGTGGAAACTGGAAATTGATGATTATTTTTTATTGATGTCCAAGAAATTGTGGACATTCTTGGATGTAGTAATAACCTGATGAGTTCCTATAGAATTATTTTCGCTACAGGTCCTACTCATGGAGACATTGGCTCTTAGAGGATGCCTCTGAGATTTCTTTTTCTTGATTAAATTCGATGAAAATTCGATATGAGTAACACTAGTAAGAACCTTTTGAAAAAGTGACAAAGTTTTATTTTCAATGCTCAACACACTGTATGATGGAGGCATACAAAAATTTGAGTAGCTTGAAGCTTGCTCCAAATAAAGGTACTCTTACAAATAGATATTCACGGCGAAGCCAGAGCAGTCGTGAGTAGATTGTCAAGGGGTCAAGCTCCCATAAGCAACGCGCACGGTAAAGAATATAGGAAGCTATATGAAGAGTTGGAAAGCGACCTCATCATGGGAATGCCAACGGATGGCATAATTCCAAAATATAGCTTTGAAACAACTTCTAAAATAAGTATAACGGACAGAGAGGCATGAAAGGAAGGACCTCCTATCAATGCAGACATTGCTGTCTATACGGACAGCTCCAAAACTGAGGAAGGACCAGGAGCTGGTATTTATGGGGCCAAGCCAAAGATTGGAATCTCACTGAGCTTAGGTAAATACGCGACGGTGTTTCAGGCAGAAATTATTGCAATACATCATTGCGTGAAAGAATTGATAAGGCAAGAGTTCAAAGACAAAACCATTGCAATCTATTCAGATAGCCAGGCGACACTCAAAGCAGTCAACTCTATGCAAGTTAACTCAAAACTAGTATAAGACTGCTGAAACCCTAAATGGACTGGGCAGTCAGAACAGACTGACTCTAGCATGCCAGCACATACAGGGTACGAGGGCAATGAAGAGGCAGACTCACTTGCCCGAGCAGGAGCAAACAAAGCTCTGAATGGCCCAGAACTCTTCTGTGGTATTGCGAAAGCTATACAAAAGACTAGTATCAAATCATGGATGCAAATCAAATCTCAAGAATGGTGGAACAACTCGCCAGGAATGAGACAGGCTGAAGAGTTTATTAAAAAACCATCGCCAACATTCACAGAATATCTACTGAGCCAGAAACGAAGTTCAACTAGAACACTAGTGGGACTTCTCACAGGGCATTATAGGCTCAACAAACACTTGAGTACGATAGGTCTGACTGAAGAACTGCTCTGCAGGTTCTGTCAGGAAGAGGAGGAAACAGCAGTGCACATACTTTGCCACTGTGAGGGCTTGTCAAGACTAAGGTTCCTTACGCTGGGTGAGGAAAAACCAGAAGCTCAAAGAAGCCTTAAGAAGGCGGGGCTAGCCGAAGAACTCTAATCGATTTTGAGGGCAGACACAATAGATCTGAAAAGGTCGCGGTGTGGAGGCAGATAGCCCGAAGGCCCCATTCTAAATCTAGAGGTACTCTTGTTTATTGTCGATGAACTAAAGCCTTTTCGTGAAGAAAATAATAAGCAACTTTTTCATTTTTATTTATCGGCTTATATAGTATATTGAAGTATTGAAGTGGATATGAAAAACGTCAAAAACGCGCAAAATAGAGCATGTGTACTAAATATCAGTCATCCACGAATACTGCAATGCCATTTTTTTTGTACACTTTGAGATCATATAAACTAGTATTATCAATACAAAGGATGGGAATAACAATTAATGATATAAAATGGTTGAATTGGTGATGTGACATCAGTATAAATTTCTTTGTCGTGCAAATGAGAAAAGCTAATTACAATTTGAAATATTCCTCAGTAATATTTTATTCGACATTACATGTTACTCCTGTCAAAACGTTGGTATTTTTAGACTCCACGTTTCTCGGGTCGTTGATGTTGCCATGATAACTTTAAAAAACGAGCGTTTCTGAAAGTTGGATTCAATTACGCTGGGGCGTCCTCTGAATAAGCAAAATAGAGTATCAATAAAAAAGGATGTGTCGTTGTTGTGAACGTTGTAGAATCAATAAAAATACTGATTTTTGGATTTCTTGTTAAAGTTCATTGTGAACTGATACGAGATATGAAAGGAATGCACATTTCAAATAGTATACCAACGTCTAGGGAAGAATAGTGGGCGATTCTAATCAATAACGTAATATTACAGCTCAATACGTCGAAAGTATTAAAACCTACAAGAACTGCTGTTATATCAATATATTATTATCATGAATTGATATTGCTCTTGCGTGGCGGCATCACTAGTGTGACTGCAGGATCACTTGTCATCTAACATGACATGGAACGCGCATGAAAACTGTATGAATAAGAAGTGAACTGACGATGCATCTGTATTCTGTACCTATTCCAGAGTTCTGGAGGAATATAAGGTCACCATACAATCTTGAGGCATCTCAATATGATCAATATAAAGTCTTTCCAGTTTCGTAAACAAACATCGTGACTCTGAATGACTTAACAAAGAATGACATGACCATGAAGCTCACCAGTTTTATCTGGTTCGAGCTTTCCAGATCACCTACCATTGAATAAAAATTAATGTATGTATCATTATTTTCTTCTATAGGTGTGAGGCAAGGGGATGAGGTGTCTGTCCACTACGACCCAATGATAGCGAAACTCGTTGTGTGTGGAAATGACAGAACAGAAGCTCTCACCAAATTACAATCTAAATTACTCGAATTCAATGTAGGTACGCAATCCGAAACCGTGAAACAAATTCTACTGATTTTCCATCGCAGATTGCTGGCTTAGAAACGAACGTCAACTTTTTATTGGATCTCGCTCGGCATCCAGAGTTCGCAGCGGGGAATGTTCACACCAATTTCATCAACGACCATCATGATTCCCTCTTCAGGGATGAGTCGCCAAGTGAAATCCAGTTGATTCAAGCTACCATGGCCGTGGTTCTGACAGACCAGGCGGAAGAGGTGGAACGAGCTGTTGCTAGAAGGGATAGACACAACCCATTCACCGTTGAATCGAACTTCCGAGTGAATTATAAACACAAACGAAATATCATATTGAGGTTCAACGACAAAGGTTTGTGCTTGACATTTTTTTTATTTTCAGATAGAATGCTTTTAGATTGAACAATGAAAGATTCTATATTTTTTAAGCGAAAATTTCAGGCGCGTTCAGCACTTTTTTTGGGTGAAGAAAAACATTGGATTTCGCGTTATCGTCACCGAAGCCACTGAAAAGCAAGAAATCTGAAGGATATCTTCTGCGGTATTCTGTAATTAGGATCCGATTCTATTTCAAATTGGTATCTGTGGGTTTTCGGGGTCAGAGATTATGATGCCTCCGTTAAAATTGGAAAATTCAAGATGGCGGATCCAATATGGTGGACGAGTACTGTAATTATTATGATCCGACTCTATTCAAAATTGGTATCTGTGGGACTTCAGGGTCAAAAATTATGATTCGTTTGTCAAAATTTGAAAATTCAGATGGCCGAACCAATATGGCTGATGAGTTTTGTAATTATTATCCGATTCTATTTAGAATTGGTATCTGAGGGTCTTTGGTGTCGGAGATTATGACCCTCTCATAAAAATTTTGGAATCCAAGATGGCGGAACCAATTTGGCGGACGAGTTTTGTAATTATGGTCCGATTCTATTCAAAATTTGTATCTCGAGTTTTCAGGGGTCGGAAATAATGAATTTTTCGTCAAATTTTGAAAATTCAAGATGGCGGATCCAATATGGCGCAAAAGTTTCGTAATTAAGTACCAATAAGTTTTGCGATTCGCTAGACTTCCACGCTACAACAATTATTGTTTCATTCATTGGACATTTGGAATATTCTTAAGATTGAATAAACGTTTCCTTTCAATCGACGGATTGAAAACTCATCTTCATTGAAGTGTACACACATGATATAGTTGTCAAGTAGGTATATGAACTAGTGAATCTATAGTTCAATCGTTTCATCTGCAAAATGTCTCATCGTTATACGAATATAAACGGTGACGGTTGAACCAACATTTTTGGAATTGCAGAAACCTGTTGAAAATCACAATTCTTCATATTTACATTCGAAAACCATTTTCACTGGTATGCCTATTCAATATATTATTCAGAAATGACGTTTCATATTTAGTAATTACGACAATTCGAGAATGTCAGTGGTAACAAGACCAGTGTGTAAGATCTTGTATAGGCACTTTTGCTCGAAGTCGAGGTATATTCAATATCCATATTTTTGGCACGAGACGAGAGAAAGCGAGTCATTCACTCATCTCATCTTGTTCGGAAACAGTCGGTGAAGTTTGTGCAAAGTGCAAAGTCAGTTGGAAAGAACACATCATCGCAAGCCGTCGGTCCCTCTGAAAGTTCAAAGAGTGCGGTAGCGCGATCCGACATTCGTCTGATGATCTGTTCAACTGACTTCGCATAAACTATACCACCTGAATTGGAAAAATGCCATTCATAATAATATGGTGATTTGCTCTCAAGATTGAAGAACTAGATACATTGCCTCATAACTATTGAAGGTCGCAGAAATGTGTCATCTCTAGAGATTTATTATTTCTGAATACCATGTGCACACAGAGTGATGTCAGCACAAAAGCTATGAAGCAACTTGTCCACTTCATCAATCTTGGTAGATATCAATCTGAATGACTCGATATCTGCAATTTTTATATTTCCTTTCAGACATTACAACGTCTGTTGTATTTGATCATCATCGTAATGGCTACCAAATATCTTGCGATGGAGGACAGACGTGGCAAGAGGTTGATGGAAACGTTTCACAAAAAAGCAATAGGCAAGTCCTGACTTGTTCCATCAATGATGTCACATGTAGAAGCACCATCTTCAGAGATGAGCATACTCTTTGCGTTTTCGACCAGGTGAGAATAAGTTTTCATTCTTATGAAGTTGATAACGAAATTCCTCAAGATTTATGGGACTTTCTCTCCTCGTCTCTATAACAGTGTGTCTCACTTCTAATGGAAACACCCCTGTATATTATGTAACCGTTTGGTAAGGATCCTGAAATTTTCTGGAACGAGATACCAAATGCCTGGTCGCCAATAGCTATGGAGCCACCCCAATTTCCGGGAAATGATATTAGGAGTCAAAATAGTTTGAAGATCACTTCGGATTCGGAATCAGGACGCCCGATTCAATAACTATTTATATCCTTCTCGAAAAAAAAAAAAAAAAATACTTCTGAAAATGTAATTTTTGTCTCACTTTTCGTGGAAACACCCCCCCGTATCTTACGTATTCGTTGATTTGAATTCATTCATAATTCATTTCAATGACACCTGTGATGATTTCTGATTCATTGGATCACTTCTGTGGCTGCTGGCGAGCAGTGTATCATTGAAGATGATCCTACTTGGTCTTTGGTATATTTCTTGGTCTCCTACATCAATAATTACGCGTAAGATACCTCTACTGCTGGGGTGCTTCCATGAAAAGTGAGACAGAATTTATTATTTCAGAACTGAAAAATTTTCAGAAGAAATATGAGTAGTTCGTGAATTAGACGTTCTGTTTTCTGTTCTCGAATCCGAAGTGATTTCCAACCTATCTTATGTCTGATTATATGATTTTCTGGACATGTAGGTTGATCCATGGCTGCCAGCGAGCAGTGTATATCACTGATGGCCCCACTTAGTCATAGAGTACATTTTCGGTATATCTCTCGCTCCAGCAAATTTCAGGATCCATACCCAACGAATATGAAAGATACAGGGGTGTTTCCATTAGAAGTGAGACACACTGTATACAGGGTGTTCTCATCAACCAAACAAAATTGATTGATCAATTTCAATATTCTAGATTAACTCATTGATAATCCAGAAGTCTATTTTTGGGACCTTATAATGTAGGATAGGATATATCTGGAATCACTCTGGTTCACCGCGGGACCCCCAAGACCCTCCCTGACAGATCTGCCCTTGCTTATTATTTCTAAGAATATGCAACTGATGAGTGGGTGAGTTGAGTTAAGGGTCTCACCGACTTACCAGGTTGATGAATTTTAGGAAGTAGGTACATACATCTTAGGCATAGTGTCCGAAACTTTCAGTTTTGATACATAATATTTGAGTGGTAAATTATATCTAAGTAGGTAGTTGCAAAATATTTACCCAGACTTGAATTTTAAGTGTTTATCATAAACTTGGCGTTCATTAATATTAATTAACCAAAATTCCTATGGGCAAAATATGAACAAATAGTAAATGAATCGGAATCTGGTGAAAGAGGTTTATTGCTAGTCTGTGCAAATTGCAAATATATACAGTAATAAAGCGTAAAGTACACAAATAAGGATATTACTATGACAACTCGCGAAAATACAATAAAAAGGCACGTCAAAACTTGAAATACTTGAATAATACAAATATCAATCATTCAAAGAGAATTTCTGAAACTCATCACTACAGGATATACAGGATTCACTTCAGGGGAGTGCATACCAGTTTTTCGAAGGTTATTGCATGAATTAAAAAAAACGCTTCAGCATAATCATTTTCCTAGCTCATTCATTATCAATGGAGTTATCAATCATCCAGCAAGTTTGAATCAGTAAATGACAAGTAGTGTAGTGTAGTCCTATCATGCTAAACAGATTTGAGGAAAAGAATACATATATATATATACCTAGGTTAACACTGACAGGGTGTGAGTTTCGAGATTCCACCGAATGAAATCATTATCGACGTTCATTTCATTATCATCTGCAATGGCTCTCTCCTGTTCCTCAAAGTTACTGACATTATGCTTTGCTATATTTCAACCACATTATAAATGAATAAATCGAAGTTGATGGTATTATACTGTGGTATCATCCAGGGTATCATCAACAATTGATGATTCTTAATATATTATGGTCAAATAATTGTTTAGGAACCTAACCTAAATTAAAATCTGATCCACATGTCAGCAGTTTCCATTCTTCACTTTTCGTCCTTATAGATTCAAAAATAACCTCTCATTTTTGTCCCATTTTTGTTGATATATCGTATAGGTGATGCGCCATATATATAGAGATAGTAGATATATGTTTATGAGACTCAAATTCGCCGTTTCCTTTTCCTGCCCAGTAAATGCATATGCATCTATAGAAATCATCTCGGAAATCATTTTGAAATGTTGTCGCTACATGACCGCAGGAAAGTTACAGAAATTGTATTTTTTTATAAATTATTAAACAATCTAGTTGATAGTTCGGATATTCTATCCTACATTAATTTTCACATTACTAGCAGACAACTCAGACAGAACAACGTTTTCGCACTATCTTTTTCCCATACAGATGTAGCAAAAAATCTTTCAATAATTCGTATGTTAGAGACCTATGACATAGATCTAAGTGTGTATTTAGATCTATGCCTATGATAAGCATTGTTCCGATTTCGATTTCGATATTTTCAACATTCGCTCAGTCGCTGTTCTGAAAACGAAAAACGGACACCCTGTAGAAATTTCTGAAAATAAAGCCGGAAGTGACCGGAAATCGCCATAAGTGACCAGGGGTGTTACATATTCGAAAAAATTCCTTCTTACATACCATTTATACCCATATTGAATTTCATTTCGATACACCGAATATTCCAGAAGTTATGGCTTGTCTATAATAGATTCTTTAAAACCCGGTATGGTTATACCCATATTATCATTGTGTTGTCTATATGCAGGGACAATATATTGATGATCTTTCGACCTGGAAAATATTTTCAATCTAAAGCCGAAAGGTCGTAGTGATAGACTGTCCATCAACACGCAGTTTATGGTCTCAGGGAAATTCGTTGTTTGTTTGCGTTGTTATTTAGTTTTTCAGTCTTTCCGCGACAATGAATGAACCAAGTATTGATATTTCAGAAGACACTGTGATACATCAGGTAATTCCGTGATATTTTAAGCAATATTTTGTACTGGATTTATCGTTCCTTCTTCTTATCCGAATCATATTATTTTATATTTTTATTTTATAAATACACGCAAATACATTTTAACGAACCTTTTTGCGAGCGAAAAAGGTACTTTGCGCAAGTGCTAAGAACACAACCTTTCCTACGTGCTTCAAATCACATAATTCAAAATTCAATAATTCTCATTCGAACTTGGAAGGGAAGAACAATGCAACAAAAATCATACACTTCATAATTCAAGATTTCAGAGGCTTATTTTTCAGGTCAAAATTCCCACGAACAAGTGTCCGCAAACATTTCGTTGCCTATCTACAGGGCGTTAAAGCGTTTATGAATATATTAAGCTGAGCATGGTGTAATATATCAATCACTGTTTAAAGTTTCAATTTCTCCGTTTTTTTCTATATAGCTTCTTCAGTTATCGAGATATTCAGATGAAATTTGAATCATTGCTTGTGTTTATTGGAGCTCACATCATACAGTTAATGCTTAGTGTTTGTGAGAATTCACAGGGAGATTTTTTCTCGAGGGGCCAAGCCTTTGTTCGCCCCATGAAATTCATCTTCCTATACATGATTTTCATTTCACTCCGCCATTTGTTGTCCATTTTGAGAAAGGATATGCTCATCGGCTTATTTTTATTCGATGATGTGTCCTTTTTTATATTGTACCTATACTTGATTATATTCTTTTGTCGTTACTGCGAGAAGTCTCTTTGTTTCACCTATACAGGGTGTTTCAGAATCAAATGTACATATACGATACTTGTAAATAGAGGATACTAATGGTTCCAAATCAACCCCCATTAATTTGTCTACCGTCTACCGTATAACTGAGATACAGGACGTTACTTTGATATCTGAGAGAGAGAGCGAAGAAAAAAAAAATCTATTATTATTTTTAATAATAGTTCGAAAAGTGCATACCTACACAATTTTTCCTAATTTGCTTTTTACATTCTTGTGTTTCTCATCGTTCCCAGCATTGTCGAACAATACACTCGACGAAGTCAAATCTTGGTGCGATTCAAACTCTCTATGCTTCAATGAAAACAAATATAATTACCTTACAATTTGAGTTCGAAAATCTGACATTGGGTACACATCAAGTTAAAAACAGAACAAGTACTAAATTCCTAGGTATACATATTGACAGAAAATTAGGGTTTGAAGAGCATGAAACGTCACTAAAAAAAAGATTAGCATCAGGTTGCTATGCCATTAGAGTTGTATCAAATGAGCTTGGTCCTGCTATTGCTAGAAACACGTATTTTTCTCTCATAGAGTCTCATGTCATATAGACTTCTGGGGTTTTTGTAGCCAAAATTTGTTGAATTCTGTCTTCATTCTACAGAAGAGGGCAATTCGCTATTTGTGTGAGGCTAAAGCAAGGGACCATTGTAGACCACTTAATATCAGTCAACAAATTCTTACTCTCGATCACCTGCCTCTTTATTTTGGAAACAGTCTGTTTGATCCACACCAGACATCATTCATCTAACGAAAACCCGGTGAATCATATTATGTCCACCAGAAATAACAGTCACCTGCCTCTGCCGATACCGAAGATGACTCGAACAAAAAGTATGAAAGCAAAAAAATCTATACAATCACTTGCCAGAACAATTCAAAAGAATTGGTTGTATCAAAAAATTCAGAAAGGAGGTTGAAAAATTCCTCATTCAAAAAGCATACTATGACCTGCAGGAATATTACAACGAAAAGTTTTGAAGTCATATAGAATGTATAATTTATTTGTTGATTTTTTAATTATCATTTTAGGTTTCTATTTGGCGTTGTATGTGATATAAATGTTATGCCTTAATGGTTTTTTTGTAGTTGTTTTATACCCTAGTATTTGTGTTATTCAATAACTATATTTTATATTTATATCTTTTATACTATATCCACTATCTATCCACTTGCTAGTTAACGCTTTGTCAATAGGAATAATGTTTCTTCGACAATGAAGCTCAGTTTTGATTGATTGATTGATTGATTGATAATGTGTGTTGTAAAGCAATTACGCAATCATGGAATTACGCACTCATGGAATTAGTGCGTAATATGCTTCTTACATCCGGTTTAATCGATTTCAGAACGTTTTTGACATACAAAAATACTGATCCGACTCAAAATGATACTCAAGTAAACTACAGCGATTAGATTTCACTGTTTGATGCATACTCCATCTTAGCTTTTTCGGGAGTTCTGCAGAGTAGACGGCAGAGTAGACAAGAACTCATAGTTGTAATCGCAGAGTTTTAATTTATCGGCCTTTATTTCAGAATGGAAAGGTGCAATATACTTTACCCCAACCTACACTCGAACCGGAAGATGAATCTCAAGTTGGTTTCTTGAACAAAGCCGTAGCCCCTATGCCAGGGGTGCTGGACAGACTGCTAGTTGGACCCGGAGATGAGGTGAAAAAAGGAGACCCGCTATTCGTTCTGATTGCAATGAAAATGGAGCACGTAGTCAAAGCTCCGAGGGATGCGATAGTTTTTAATGTTTGTTACAAGACTGGCGAGAACGTCGCTAAAGATGCTACGGTCGTAAAGTTTGAGGAAATCTGATGATCTATATATTATCTTGTTCATATATTGTTTGTTTGGTAATAATCATATCATTAAAATTGTTTATGTTCTGTTAATCGACTATATTTCAAACGATAAGGATGTTCTAAAAGGATTTACTTATCTACAATGATTTTTTCAGGAAGGTAGAGGTGAATTATTCATCAAAAATCAATGCCTTCAATGGTTAATAACATTTGCCAATATCATGTCCTTTTGAAAATAGACCTTGTCAAAGGTTGTGTTGTGAATGATGTGCTATCAGTAGTAATAATATAAGTACTTCAAAATATTTGGGTTATACATTGATAACTTGTTCCATAATTACAAAGAGTGTCAGTTTGGCAGTTGAAATAATCCGTCCGCGAAGCGGGACGATTATTCTGTTAAACTCACACGATTTGTAATTATGCAGGAAGTTGGAGATGTGCAACCATGAATAGTTTGACGTTAGAATTGTATTCGATGCGATTATTTTTTGAGTATCTAGTTCTAAATGAACGTCAACATTTCTCGATCCTTTTTGCATGTAACAATATGAATTTACTATGGAAATAATTCTAAATTTCTGATTGGCGGAGTTATGTATATCCACGTATATTCGAAATTATATAAGGTAGCTTAACTCAATTGAACGTTTTCATTAATTTGAAATCATACAAAGGAACTAATCATGAATATACGATAATAACCTTCTGACATGAACTACCATCTAGACCGCTTTGTCATAAATATTCCAATAATCCAAAAATCTTCGACATCGACTCATGTCACTTAGTCTTAGTCACCTGATAGAAAGTGGATATTTTATAATGATGCGGCAATGATTCAAAAATATACAAGAGTCTCAGGATCAGGTTCCTCTGCTGTCCGAACACGCCCGATCGCCAAGCGCTAGGGAGGGAGACGGTCTCCCCACCGGCCTACCGTTTGGCAATATGGCGATAGCGCGACGGGCGACGGGCGATCGGAGACGTTAACAGGCTTTTTATGAGAGCGTTCATTCACGGCCGGTCTATTTGAATTGTACAGGGTGGGCCACCAACAGTTTTGTTGACCATATTCCACATTTTAACCATAATTTTTTTCCGAATCAATTAGAACTATTTGTGCATGTGCATCAACTGATATACTGCGACCTACCAGATAATGTAAGGGCTGATTGAATTGCAATACTTCGTTACATACAGGGTATGTCACGACGAGCCCTACATGTTGGTACCATGGGTATATCGAGAACCTCATACGAAAATCATGAAACTATGTACTACGCTTATGTTTTGTTTGCGATGACGCTCATTTTATTTAAAATATTTTCGATAATGCACTTTTGCCACTTCAACTATAAAGTAGTATATACCTACTATTTAACTGTATATAATATATATTATATTGTATATATTGTATTGTATATATTGTAACCCCTCACTTTAGCTGCCGAAGCAACCCTCATAAGCCCTCGAAGGGCTTGTCCGAGTTAAAGTGACGGAGAACCTACAGTTTATAGTGGATTCCGAACCACTGGTACCAATGGAACACCTTATCCTATTTTATTACATTTTTCGATTCTCCTGATGAGTTGATTTCGTCGATCCATCAAGCTCGAGATATAGAGTGTGAAAAACCGACACACGGCTTATATGTCCCTATCCTAACTTTCAATTCACTAATACTGTCATTTAATTTAAAGAAATACAGGGTGGTTCAGATTTCAGAATTCTATAGAAGAAGTTAAACTATATATGCCTACTGAAATATATATATATATATTTTTAACTCAAACAAAACAAATATATTCCAAATATATCCATCAATTTTATTGCTACCTAATAGTTTGATATGCCTATCACTTTTACTTCTGCTAGTGAAGAAGCCATCTCTATGACAGTGATAATATTGAATGGTGCTACTTTTGTGAATATTTTTCTTCACTTTGATAAATTTACTGACAGTATCCCTTTCAAGTCGATCTTTCCAACTTTCAAATTCAACAAGGGTATCAAAATTTATTTTTTTTATTGACATATCTAGGTCATGATTAATTTTGTAATGTTGTAACATTTCAATCTTGGAAATCTTGGATTCCCCACACAAGCAGCATGGTATGGGTTTCACCTCGGGTTTTATTACGACATTTTCTTTCATACATTTTTTTAAATGTTTCTTTAAATCAATCTTCCATTTATAGTTTCGAGAACAATGATGGCAAATATAATTCTGGAAATCATCCTCTCCACTAGGATGTGCATTCTTTTGATGTTGTCTCAGGCTCCATAATCTGGTGAATGTTTTGTTGCAATATTCGCAGAGGTGACTCATATTATCTTCATAGACTACAATGAGAAAAAGATATCATGAGAACTCGCCAGAATTATAGGTGGATGAGAAATATCATGGAAGTTTATTGAGAAACCTGTTTTATCATTCGCAAAACGTACTGCATGTTGTGAAACCTCAAATACAATCATCAAATAACACATTTTTTCAGTCGTATACGCGGTGTGTCAAATACAGGGTAACTCACGGTCGATGGTACGTTAGACGTTTATGGAGAACGCAATGCAGGATTTTTCTGAAAATTTCGCACATCACATTTTATGACCTGTTCTATCGATCGAAAATATTTTCGAAATTGCGACGTTGCCGTTTCTATCTAAAAGTATCAACAACTTTGTTATTTCAAACGGAATACCCTGTATTTCATTGCATTTTTAGATTCTCCCTGAAGAGCTGATTTCATCAATACATCACACTTGGGGTCTAGCAGAAATTATTACAGAGATATAAGGTGTTAAAAATCGAGAATTTTCAACTTTACGATTTTTTTCTGTCGAAACTAATCATTAGTGGTCAATATGGCTTACATGTCCCTATCTTAACTTTTGATTCTCTATCTACTGACATTCAATTGGAACAAATACAGGGTGGTTCAAGATTCAGAATTCAGATCACCCTGTATCTGTTCCAATTAAATGTCAGTGAAATACAGGGTATTCCGTTTGAAATAACAAAGTTGTTGATACTTTTAGATAGAAACGGCAACGTCGCAATTTCGAAAATATTTTAGATCGATAGAACAGGTCATAAAATGTAATGTGCGAAATTTTCAGAAAAATCCTGCGTTGCGTTCTCCATAAACGTCTAACGTACCATCGACCGTGAGTTACCCTGTATAAATAATACACTTTACTCTTGATGGGTACAATTCACTTTTTGTGACGCACCGTGTATACGACTGGAAAAATTTGATATCGGATGATTGTATTTCAGGTTTCAGAACATGAAGAAGTTTTTATGAAGAATAACTTTTTTTCCTAAAATGAATAATAAAAAAATTGTTTTCTATACGGTCCCAACTTAGTGAGACATACTGTATACTAAATTAGGTACTGAATTTTGATTTTAACGGTTCATCAATGATTGCATTTATTTAGTAGAATTTAACTAACGCATTTCTCTTCTCCGCTAGTGCATCCTCTTTTCGGATTTAAAAAATCTTCAGTTTTGAAAGTAGTTGCTTACCTATCCTATGAACCACACGACAAAAACGGCACATTAACTCATGCATGCACACATATATATATTATTCATCCTTCTCTGCTTGACGGCTTGGCGATCGGGCGTGTTCGGACAGCAGAGGAACCTGATCCTGAGACTCTTGTAAAAATATCTGACGATACTTTCAACCAAGAGCATACAAAATAAAACCGGACCCTCCTGGTTGTATTAAAAGTGCTTCGCAAAAATGCTTGAACTTTGTGATACACTCAAATCCTTTTCCAACACTAAGAATGGATGTTCCTGGATATGCATGCCAAAACGTCAACAATATTGTCTTCATTCCAAGTAACAGGTTTTGGTAATGCTGGAGGCGCTTTTAACTTTGAGCCATAGTTGATAAAATTATTTTGTAATCTTACAAACTTCCTCTCGTTCTGGCCATGATTTGATCACATTCGTGTCCGTGTATAATGAATAACTTCATAAGAACTTCGTTTGAATAATCGATATTTGCGTTGATTCTGGGAGATTTCTTGAAACACTGTCAATAAGAATTATTGAATTACTGATTAATGCCACCAAACTGTCATGAGTTTGATATTTCCATGGCTATCTAAAATCAACTTCTTCATGAAATTATATTTTTCTTAAAAAGCGGCTTTATTAAGAAAACTTGATGATTTAGATCTAGGGACATCTTGTAGCTTTTTTTTTCGTCATTCAATTTATTGAGTGAAAAATAGTGGCTTTCATTTGAAAAAATTAACATTTGACCACAACGAATATGATAATAATTTCAGCACGCCCTGTATGGTCAATTAGGGATATGTTTTGGATCATATTAAACACAACTTATTTTTTATCTAAAAAACCGATAGGGATAGGTATAGGGATTCATCAACAAAAGAGAATTTATTGTAATGAAAAGGTAATTTAAAAAATTCATCAATATACGGGGTGTTCCATTAAAAAAATTAAGTTGGTAGGACTTTCAGAGAGAAACGGTAACGTCGCAATTTCGAAAATATTTTAGATCGATAGAACAGGTGATAAAATTTTCGAAAAAATCCTGTGTTGCGTTCTCCATAAACGTCTGACCTACCATCGACCGTGAGTTACCCTGCATAGGGTATTTGTATCAGGTATCAGTGAAGAAGCTGATACCTGGTACTGCTAATTTGGAATTATAATGCCCTCTCACAATAGATATATGATATATGGGGAGAGGAAATATTAATACTACTCTGGACAACCACGAAAATGAAGATGTACTGTAGGGAATGCTGCAATTTGCGTTGTCGTAAGTACCTGAGTGTATACTTAGAGATTGTTTTGATTTCAATAAACAATTTAAAATTGGTGTGCTTACCTTTATTGTTAGATATCCCGCATTTCCTCATGAATACTACTAATACTAGTAGTATTTTAAAAAATCATAAGTCTGTGTGTTCGATACATCAACTTCTTTCTCCGAGCTTAACAGGTATTTTATATAATTTTTTACCTACGGCCACTATAGAAAGTAGGCAAGAACACGCGAAATACAGCCTCAGTA